GAGGGAGGGCGGGAGGGTGGAGCTGATCCTGCAGGTGATAGAGACGGACACGCTGCAAAGCGAGCGGCAGGTGGGATCTACACGATACTCTGATCAAGACGGAGCGCTGCTTACAGGTGCTGACCTCTGCCCTTTCTGTGCCATCTGTTCCCCTCCCGGTATTCTGTGCCTGGCGTGCAGATCCCACCTGTCCCTCACTCAGCAGCGTGTCCGTCTCTATCACCTGCAGGATCAGCTCCACCTGCCCTCCATCCAGGCTCCTTTTATTATGGCTTTTGTCAGCCTCTGCTGACACCTGAGCGCAGCATTTGCACAGGGCAGTTAGTGCACACCGCCTCCTTAGACAACCAACTTCAGCCTAGCTTGGATTGTTAAAGGGGGAGAAGCAAATCCTAAAACAATCCAAACATGCAAAGCACAGCAAAAAAATTTAAATTAAAGAAAAACACAATCATGGTTTTGCCTGGGAATGTAGTGTTGGTGCGTGCAACACAACCACATCAACACCACATTCCCCACAATGCAACAGTAGCCCACGAAGTCACAGCAGCAAGCATAAGCGGCCATGGCCTGTGGGCCGGGCTGGATAGGACCTCTCAGACCTAGGTCATTTTCAATCACAGAGCTGGTAACCAGCGACAGACCTCAGAACGTCATGGAGTTCTCTGAAGAACCATGTGTGTTGATCGATGTGGACGCAGCATCCTGTGAACAAACTGACTGCTTCGATGCAGAGTCCCTGGCAAACAGCCCTGGCTCTAGTGTGGTTCCAGTGATTATCAAGAGACTGGAACAGACCAAGGATAATGTTCGGTAGAGGAGGGATATTGGTGCTGGCTTCCATTTTAGTAAATGTGATTGCTTTAGAGTCAATGCAATCAACTGGTTTCCCTTAGATAGAAAACTTTAAATCAGTCTGACTGGATGATCTAGTGAACTGGAAAGCGCCTTGAGATGACATGTGTTGTGAATTGAAGCTATAGAAATAAACTGAACTAAATTGTTTGGCCTCAGTTAAGGTGAACTATTGTATTAATATTACAATATTGCTTCTTCAGTTCCAGCGACATCCATAAAGTCTCACATCGATGAACTTAGTGACCAAATAGATTAAGGATGAAAAAAGGGCAGAGACTTTAAGTCGACTCATCTTGTCCAACATCAGTGTCTGAATACACAAATATTCAACAAACAAAGACTCTTCCCAGAAAGCATGAAGCAGTTAGAGCTGAAGAGTTCTGCTAGCAAACATGATAAGATGTTATTAAAGGTCATCAGGGTCTCTAAAGAATAACACAATCATTTTGGTTGTTTTCTAAAGATAATTATCTCTGGCTGGTAACTGGTAACTTCATTTAAATGAAAAATGTATCTTCAAATAAGTAAAGATTCCTTCAAATAAGTGTATTTCCTATTAACTTGAGTAGGTTGATGAGATGTGAGTATATATAAATATATATATTTATATATATATATATATATAGTTTTTATACTTATTTTTTATTGAACATTTCTGAACACATACAGTGGAGAGGCAACAATATATTCAACTTCATATACAATGTTGGACAACATGACCATATTTATCTGGATACAATAATGGTATTCTCCTTGCGTCTGAAGTCGCTCCATTTTTCCCATTTAACAACCAACTTGTCCTCCTGCAATCTCAGTCTATGTGTGATTTTCTCCATTACAAAAATCTCTTCCACAATGCCCATCCACTGCTCCACCGCGGGGGGGGGATCTTGTCTATACCATAGTTTTGTGATGGTTTTCCTTGATGCTGAAAGTAATATTTTTAGCAGGTATTCATCATCCTTTTTGAATTACTTCGTGTGTCAGACATCCTAGATAAACTGTTTTACATGATCTGGGTATTCCATAACCCAATAAGTTTTTTAAAATAAGGCAAACATTATGCCAGTATGTGGTTAGCTTTTGACAAGACCAGAATATGTGCGTGTTGCCTACATCAGCATGTAGCATGGCTGTGAACTGGATAACATCCTGGTCCTGATCTTTGGTGTTATTAAAAATCTAATCATGTTTTTCCAATTAAACTCCCTCCACACACGAGAGCAGGTGGCTGTGCACTGCATTTTACACATTTTAAACCATTCCTCCTCGCTTATGTGTTCCTTCAATTCGTCCTCCCATTTTTATTTAATGTACATAGTAGATGTCTTCCTGCCTGCCATCAGTCCCTGGTACAGTGCTGAAATAATTTGTAATTTATTCCCCTCATAGGCCTTATGAAATATCTCTATTATTTTACTTACGCTGGTTTTTATCTCTTTCTCATAAAAATCTTTTATTTGCAGGTATCTATATTGGTCTTGATCTTCCAGTTCATATTTTCCCTTTAAGTTATTGAAGCTCAGCACTTTGCCCTTTTCAGTCAATTTACACATTGCTGTGGCACCTGTGGCTCTAACTTGTAATTATCAATTACTGTGTTCCATATTCCAATCGTAGTTTTAGTTATTGAATCTGGCTTATTGCTTAGTTTGCCTAAGAGTATTTTATGTGCTATTCAATTTTTAACTTCTATGTCTTTTCTACCTATTTCCAATTTTTTTCCATTTTGAAACATAGTCATCATTGCACCAACATACCAGAGGTCTAATTTGTGCGGCCCAAAAATATTCTTTTAGGGCTGGTAAACCCAGACCTCCTTTATCAATTGGGAGCTGAAGTGTTTTATATCTAACCCTAGGTTTCTTCCCGTTCCATATAAACCTTGAAAACCATCTGTCCCATTCTACAAATTGTTTTTGCGGGATAGTCAGTGGCAGGGACTGCAATAGGTATAACAGTCATGGTAAAATATTTATTTTAATTATTTCCACTCTAGAGCTGAGATCCAAGCCAATGTCCATCCATCGCCCCAGGTCCTTCTTGATATTGTGGTTTATTTCTAAATAATTTGCATCATAGAGTTTGTCAATTGTTTTGGTTATGTTTACCCCCAAATATTTTATAGATTTTTCGTTCCACTTAAGTTTGTAGGTATCCCTTATTTTCTGCTGCGGGGAGTAATTAATTGTTAGGATCTGTGTTTTTTTCCACATTCATTTTGTATCCCGAGAGTTTCCCATAATCCTCAAGCAAACTTACTGTTTTTGAAAACATTTCATTTGGGTTTTTTAGATAAATCAAAATGTCATCTGCAAACAACCCTATTTTATGTTCTTCCCCTCCTGTTTCTACTCCTTCTATTTCCGCTTCCTGCCTAATCATCTGAGCTAATGGCTCTATAAACAGTGCAAAAAGACTTGGTGAGAGGCAGCATCCCTGCCTTGTTCCTCTCTCCAGTGTTAATCTTCCTGGCAGGTTGCCATTTATTTTTAATCCGTGCAGTTGGCTCTTGATAAATTGATTTAATACAATTTACAAACATCTCATTACCGTAAATCCAATTTTTTCAAAGACCTTATACAAAAAGTTCCAATTGACACTGTTGAAGGCTTTTTCTGCATCTATACTACCGGTAATCAAAACTGCCCCCTCCCCTCTTCTTTGCAGATGGTCTATGATATGAAGAGTTCTCCTTATATTGTCTTGTGTTTGTCTTTCCTTTATAAAACCAGTTTGATCCTCATCAGTTAAATCCTGCATTAAATTTTCCATTCTTTTAGCTATGATGGAGGAAAACAGTTTATAGTCTACATTTAGTACCGATATCGGTCTGTAGTTTTGGCAGTATTCTTGGTCTTTGCCTTGCTTTGGGATTACGGAAATAATGGCTTCATTCCAAGAAGGGGGCATCTTGCCGGTCCTGAGACTATAGTTAAACGAATCATATAGTAGTGGTGTTAATTCTTCTTTGAAGGTTTTATAAAAAGAAGCCCCTAAACCATCTGACTCTGGTGACTTTCCTGTTTTAGTCCTGCCAATTGCCTTTGTAATCTCTTCCTCTGTAATTTGAGAAGTCAGTGTCGCATTTCGTTTTGTGCCTATTGCTGGTTAATCCAGTTTTTCCAGAAAATGACTCACCTCCTCTTCCCCAGCCGATGGAGGTTGTGCATATAGATTTTTGTAGTATTGCTCAAATGTTCTCTGTATTTCTTCTTGTTCATATAAAATTGTATTAGATAGTGGATCTCTTATTTTATGTATGCTACCTAATATTTGTTGTTTCTTAATGCGCCTAGCCAAATTTTTGGTGGCTTTCGGTCCGCCCTCATAATACGTTTGTTTGGTAAATCTAGCCTTCTTTTCTACCTCCTGCTCATTCATTTCTTTTCTGGTTTCCTTAATCAGATTAAATACGTCTGGGTAATTTGTTTGTTTAGGTTCTTGTTCTAAATCTCTTAGCTTTCTTATTTGTTTATTGTACGTTTCTAATCTTGCTTTTCTCATAAATGCTGTGTAAGAAATCATCTTCCCCCGTATTACTGCCTTAAGGGCATCCCAGAGAATTACTGGGTCTACTTCACCATTATCATTTTCCTCTTTATATCGGATTATCTCCTCTTTACTTCACCAACTAGAGCCTTGTTATTTAATATTCCTTCATTTAGTCTGCATAAAGCATTGTTCTTTTTGTTGTCCAGATGGATCTCGAGATAGATTGCGTTATGATCGGAAACATCTGAAACTCCAGTCCTACATTCTTTCATTCTGTGTAGTTCTCTCTTATTCATTAGTATATAATCAATTCTGGAATAAGTACCATGTGGTATTGAATAATGAGTATAATCTCGATCTAAGGGGTGAAATTCTCTCCACACATCTACAATTGCCATTTCTGACATCATAGTGTTCATGTAGAGATGTGAGTATATTTACCCTTAAATAGGATAGTTAGATATAATATAATATAATCTTGAGATAGGATAATGATGTTTCTTTCCTATTTTAGGCCTTTGATGCCTCCATATTCATACAGGAATATATAAAACAGGAAAGAGTGATTTCTTGCCTTTAAGTAGATGACAAATTAAGTTGAAATCTTTACTTTGACTATTGCACAAAAATATGAAATAGAAAGACAGGTATGTAGTGACTTTACAACAGCAGGCAAAACAGATAAAACATAACAAATAAACAAGTAGAAAAATGAAATATTTAAATGACAGCAAAACTGGCCGCACAGAGTTTATCTCAGAATGTAGGCTCTGTAGAATATAGTCTAAGCACAGTGTAAAATATTTACAATAAAAACTCCTTATTTTCTTACTGGCTTTATCTTTCTCAGTGGAAAATATGTATGTCAGGGATCAGTCTATTGCAGCTGCTTTTTGTATCTCTGCTTCTGTCTCCTTGAACCTCAGTCAGCCTCAGCTGATGGCCGCTCACACTGAGTCTGGTTCTGCTGGAGGTTTCTTCCTGTTAAAAGGGAGTTTTTCCTCTCCACTGTCGCTACAAGCATTCTTAGTGTGAGGGATTGCCTTCGAGTTAATGAGTCAATGTAATCAACTCGTTTCCTTAGACAGAAAACTTTGAATAAATCTGACTGGATGATCTGGTTGAACTATAAAGTGTCTTATGATGACATGTGTTGTGAATCGGTGCTATAGAAATAAAGTGAATTGAATGTAATCAGTCCCACTAGAAACAAGGGTTCACCAAAGGTTCCCAGGTTTGTTTCATATTTGCTACAATAGGCATTAATAGGTTAGACATAAATCATCTTTTTCTATGGCAGGTTGTCTTTCTTACCTGCTCCATAAAATCAGCTTATTTTTTTATTTTTTTGCACTGTAATTCTATTGTATAGAGTCAAAATTTATTTATTTGCCAAGCCTGTTCACATTAGCATGGGAATAACATTCTGGTTTCTATATTCAATGCAAATATTACATAAATAAATATACTTCTACATTAAAAAATACATGTAATATTTATTAATATACAGATTTTGTTTTTTTAGATCCATGGAATAAAAGGCTGATTTTTTGTGATTTTTCTACATTATCCTGCTTAGTTCTGGAAACACAACAAATGGCTGGATGTGGTGGTGGACGACAGGCTGCCGACGGTGAGAAATCAGCTCATCATGCTTCACTCTGCCTCCAATGATGAGTTCTGGAGCGCCTTGATGGAAAAAGCCTACGCCAAGTAAGGTCACTGACAGCATCAGATTGGAATAAAGCAATGAAACTGAGTTTTATTGCTTGATACATCCTCTTCTTTCCTGGTTTTGTCAGGATTCATGGCAGCTATGAGTCCCTGAAAGGCGGCAGCACCATGGAGGCCATGGAGGACTTCACTGGTGGAGTTGGAGAGGTGTATGAAACCAAGAAACCTCCAGAAAACCTGTTTGCGATCATGAAAAAGGCCTTAGACAGAGGCTCCATGATGGGATGCTCCATTGATGTAAGAATAATTCTGCCGTCCAGCAAAACATGGAAGTCTCCTGTGGATTCATGTTAAATTTATCCTTTCATTCAAGCATTCAGATCAGTGTTTCACTTCAAACTGGTCACAGTTCTTTGGTTTTCTTTGGTCCAGATCACCAGCTCTGCCGAGTCTGAAGCCAAGACCAGCACAGGCCTTGTGAAGGGACACGCCTACTCCATTACAGGCCTGGAAGAGGTAGGACCCCTCAGCAACGAGTCAGAAACAAGTCAGACCTGTTTGATTTAGGAATAACTGTCAGTAAATTATCTCTGTAGACATTGAACTTTGGGAAGCTGTTGGTGAAATGGGATACCTGCTTTCTGAGGAATGTCTGGGAATATCATGGTTATTACATCATTTTAAGGGTCAAAAGTAGAAAAAATGATTAAAGTTTTCAGTTTGATGCAGACATCTTTCATCTTCCTCAGGGGCGGTGGGGCAAAAAGCGACCTACCCAACATGTCAGCTTGATTAAAATGTTTACTTTGACTGTGGTCAGTCTACCACATTCACAGAACAGTTAAACTAGGTTCAAACACTGCAAAATCTAACCAAGTCTTACAATCTTACATCCAGTAAAAACTCTTTTTGATCTTCTTTAAGGTTGATATACTAAGTAAGAGCAGCTTCTGTCTTTTTAAAAAAGTCTAATCAAAATTAGAACAAAAATCTGGAATCATTTTCTAGTTTATCAATCTCAAAACTAGACTAGATACTAATAAACTAAATACTGGGATTATTTAGAACTTTAACTGTTTCCTTCTTTATTAGATACAGGATTAAATAACATTGGCTTCATATTTATCACTATCAGCCTGTGAAAAAGTAAAAGTAGATTTTATTGTAATAAGTTTAATTGCACTTGATTTAAGTGGTTAAGAAAAATGATAATTTGTGAGAAAAAGATTTTAGCTCTTAAAATAAAATAAATTAGTTGATGTGCAGATAATCATACTTACCTCTTAAAATGAAGGACAAATGGAATAACTCCAAAAATGTTTGACTAATTTCTTGATCAATTTTGCGATGATTTGAACTTTTCGGGTTTTTAAAGATAAAACCAATCAGTAATTTATTGAATTATATTTCAGGAAATCTAGGGACAATATTTTCATTTTAAAGCTAACAAAGGGGGGTAATGTATAAATAATCTTTGTTTTCCAGATAAACTTCAGAGGTCAGAGAATCAAGTTGATCCGAATCAGAAACCCATGGGGTCAGGTGGAGTGGAACGGCAACTGGAGCGACAAGTAGGGGAAAAATATTCACTCTTTGACTTTCAAAATAAAATAAATGCTGATGTCACAGGCAGGTGTAGCAGATGGACAGTGGAGTGTATAG